AGACCAGTAATTATTACCATTAAGGGCCCCAATTAGAATCCAGCTGGAGGTGGAAGCCTTGGAAGATACCATTGTTCCAAACACTGAGGGGGGGTGTTAATTTTGAAGCTAAGCCCTAAGTTATTTAGTCATTTTGATATATTATTTGTATGAAGTCAAATATGACTTAGCTTCTATTTTGTTAGGTTTTGTGTTTATTGTACTTCTATTATGTTCCTCCCTCATGTGGGAAGTTTAGGGGACCAACCCTAACTTACTCTGACTTTACTACCTGAACTTTAAACTAACTTAGCTTAGTTAGTTTTATTTAAATTTTATTAGGGATGTCCTGATCTGATCCCGATCCCGACCTATCAGAGCCTGTATTAAAGCTTAAAGTTATTTATCTACTTACTTAGTTGTCAGACTCATGTTGAACAGGGATTTACTCTGATAACAACTTAATGGTTAGGACACAGACCTGTGGGTTACAGATGCTAATGCTAATGCTAAAGAAACTGGATCTGGAGTCTGGATCTGTGTTCTCCTGCCGGACGATACGCAGTTTTTTTGCGCATATCTTTTGGCCGATGGGATCCAGATCTCAGCCTGTGCTCCACCCCCCCCCCCCCCCCCCCCCCCCCCCCCCCCAGATGACTCCAGCCCCAGCCTGTCTAAGGAGCTGGGCGGCGGTCTGTCGGCGGTGCCGGAGTGCTTCGGGCCGGAGGGCGGCTTCCCTCTGGAGGACGAGCTGCGCATCGAGCCGCTCAGCCTGGACGGGCTGAGCATGCTGAGCGACCCGGACATGGTGCTGCCCGACCCGTCTGTGGAGGACAGCTTCCGCCACGACAGACTCTGAGCCCCCGCACACACACACACACACACACACACACACACACACACACACACACACACAGGTGCAGTGTATAGTGTACAGATCTGCTTCTGCAATCAGGCAAACCGTGGGCCCCCCCCCGCCACTAAGATTCTCTAAATGTGAACCCCCCCGAGCAGCATGCGCACAGCCATCCGCACCGGACTGTCTCCACCCGCCCGGCCAACCAGTCGGGACTCGTTTTTAACCGAAAACCATCAAAAAAACAACAAAAAAACACAAAAACAAACAAAAAAACACACAAAAAACGATGCAGTTGAGGGTCGAGGAGTCCAGTCCCCCCCCTCCCTCTCAGACCCAAACGACTCAGAGGGACACCAGCACCCCGCCTCCGATTCCCCCGCAGCCATGGCAACGCCGTAACCGTGGTTACCCACCATAGCAACCCCATCGCCATGCTGAAAAGCAGTAAAAAGAAGAAAAAAAAGTGGCTCGGCGGGGCCACAAATCCAGCCTCGGTAGAGATGAAGAGCAGTTTTTAATCCTGGAACGGGTGTCGATTATTTTTTAAAAATGTTTGCCACAGATTTCTAATATATTGATGGAAATACGTATATATATATATTCATATATAAGCCTCAAATTTCAGTCTGATTCGTGTGTTTTCTTTTTTCAAATGAGACAAAAAGGGCAAACTGTTTACAAAGATGAGATTTTGATAAGCAAAGATGAGTCATATTTTTGGATTTCCCACCGGAACGCGGCTCTGAGCTGTACTGAACCAATGCAATATTTTTACTGGCCATTTGGTTGCAAATCGGCTTCCTGTGGGCAGAGGGACGGCTAACGCCGGGTCA